CGTTGTCCAAAGCTTCAAAACTCCTGGGAGGGACCCTATACGATAATCACCAGACTCAACGATGTCACATATCGGATCCAGAAGAGCCCTCAGGCAAAATTTAATGTTGTCCACATTCACCGTTTGGCCAGATATAACGATGATCCAGGAGTTACCTAATCAGGGTTTAGAAGGGGGGCAGTGTAACGGAAATGGCCTGAGGTACTTACGTTTGGAATGGGGGATCGAAATTCATGGTATTTCAGTAAATGGGAGCCCCATTTGGGCCCCATTTACTGTCAAATATGACACTGACAAGCGGGAAATTTCGCACCTCTTCTGGAGATTTGGAGAACTATCTGGGTTACCTAGAGGAAACTATATAAGCGACGACGAGAACCAGACAGAGGGAGTGAAGTGACAGCAGCGTCCGAGTGCAGAAGAGGTTAAACTCCGGGAGTCGGAAGAGCGAGTTCTCCGCCTGTTATTGTTATTGTTTGTGAAGTTGACGGTAATTTTGAAGTTAGTTAGTTCCTGTTCCGTAGTTAAAGTTGTACCGAGTGGAATAAAAGTTGGAAGCTGTAGAAAGAGTTAGATACTCGGCCATCCACGGTACAATATCTTTCTTACAGTTGAAAATACGAAGAATCGGAAAGACCCGTCAATTGTATTTGTAAAGGACGCACTTTAAATAAATATTTTTAGCTTCCTTGTTTCAACCTCCTAGGACGGGTAGACCATTAGAATCTTAAATTGGAAGGGGGTCAAGTGGCACACTGTTTTAAAGGGCGTTCGATTCTCTTTACACTAGTTACTATCTTGTTACTTTAGGTTTACAGGTTTCTGAATAATCGCGTTTCAAAATTACAGAAACAATGAAATGGTCTGTATTGAGATTTTCGTTTTCAGATTAGTGTTTAAACAAAAATTATGTCTTTGGTCTCTTTATAGTACAAGTAATTAAAAGAAAAGGTTCGGTTACACCGTTTAAATCGTTAAATAACACGAATAAAATCTAGTTTAAACAATTGATTTTGGATTTATTGATTATTTCACTTCGAGAAAAATCACTTTTCATTTACGGAAGATAAATGTCTATAATAAAACCAATGTAATCTACTTTGGCACTATCTTATAAATTGATAGGTCTTTCCGATTTTTCATCTGCAAAAAAGATATTAAGGGTGGGATGTTTTCAAATTTACACCTTGTGTATATTACAGACATAAATGCTTACATGTATATGATAATGCAATGCAAGCAAATAAAATATTATTTCAACTGGGTAATGCAGTTTTCAAAACATGTTTTTACAGTAATCAACGCAACTCGAATGCTCAACGAGTTCATGTTTATTCTGAGGAAACAATTTGGTGTTGCTACTTCAACGATAGTTTCTTTTTTTGAAATTTCTTAGTACGCCAAGACGTTTCTTTTAAATTTTCTTCTGTCAGCTGCTACTTTGTGCTACGCAAAAATCGCAAGGCAAAAGCTTTATAGCAGAAAACCTTACAAATCGAAGTTTAATGAATAACCATATATTTTTTAAGAAATTAGTCAACTAAATAATTTTTTTTGTGCAAATTAGTTCATCATATATCTAACAAAGTAGGATGTGTGCAACTACTTGGAACATTTTTAGGTGCTTACGTTACATCAGCCTTTGTCGAATGACGTTTTAAATTTCCAATTATAAAAATGCTATGCAATAACATGCAAAACCATTCTACCTAAGAAATATACATCTTTTAAAGTTAATTTATCAAGAACAAACAACGCCTTGAGCTATACATATACAACGATGATTATCCTTTGTTTGCATTATAACAGGGGAACATTCACTGAAAAATTACACAATTCCCATCAATGTTATCATTACTCTACTTTTGAAATTATCCGGTGTTCCAAGTTTTATATTACTTATGCATGTTGCAGAAAGTGTCTGGTTGCGCTACAGTTAGATTGGTACCGTATTTACCTATGTCAAAGCGAAATTGGAAATGTGAAAAAACAATAATAATTTGATTTTAATTCATAGCTTTTGTTGATCTCAGAACACTTTTTTAATTAGCAGTTTTGATGTAACAGAATTAATTAAATTTCATACCAAGTGCTTTCATTGACATCTGTATCAATTTAGACGTTTTATTAAGAAAAAAGAAAAGAGTTTTATTAGAAAGAATAACATGGAAGATATATTGTTTTACTGCGTAAAAACAGTTATCAGATAGGTATCTACATTATACAGGGTGATCCAAAATTGTGAAACTGTCACTTGTCGTTCAATGTTGCCCCTGGAAAGCTCTGCTGCAATTATGTCCAAATTATTGCTATTATTGACAAGGGCTATCCACCTGTAACTATCTGTTAATGCCAAAAAACATCACTGCCGCTTTGACTTTTCATCAAAAAATTGTAGAATAGAACTTTTTGAATATAAAACATTTTTGTAATTTGAAGCAAAGATGGTAATTTTTATTTTTGAATGCTTGAGTATTCCAGTATGCTTCCAATTAAACATGGAACACTTTCAAAATCATGCTTAATAACAAAGTCGAAATTCGATTTTCAGCTGTTAATATCTTCTAGAAATGATCGAAAAAAATATCTTAATATTTTTCTCGTACCTTCCAAGTGAGCCCCTATTACCCCTTAAAAGAAATTACACCAATTTTGAATCCCCCTGTATAATGTAATATTGTGTAAAACCTTCCGAAAGTGGGTTTTTTTCTGAACGCGATTTCGTCTAGTTAGATGAACGGCTGTATATTTAAATTGCTAGATAGTAATTCTACTTGTGTATTAATTTTATTTAGATTGTGTTGCTTCAAATCTTATGTGCACATAAAATACTTCAAATAGATCATTCTATCACCATGTTATGTTAGCACATGGTAAGTCTCTATCACCAGTATCATTCTTGAATTTTTCCATCTTGTAGATATGAGATATATAATATTTTGTCATCATTCATTCAACCTAAATCCAATCATTCTCTAAACTCGGCCTTTGCCTGAAGAGTGAATTTCAATCCAATGTGCTAACATACATGTTTTATGTCAATAAACTTACTTTAATTTCTACAATATTATAACCAGCCTCTTTCAATGAGTCTCGCAGCACATGTCCGCATATGCAAAATATGTCCTTCGGACACTGAATTTTCTTTAGATATGCCAACGCGGCAAGAACAGGAGTGACAATTTCTCGGTCAGCAGCTTCAAAATGTCTTAGCTTCTGTTTGACCTAGAATTATTAGAGCATTCCATAAAATGTATTCTTATCTGCAACATGTTTTTTTATGCAGATTTATTTAAATACTTCTTCAAATGTTGTAATGGTGTTATTTGTAACAAAGCCGATATGCTTGCCAAGAGCTTTCAACTTGTCGATACAGTCATTCGAGCCTGTGAGTGGGGTTGTTGCTAACAATAAAACTCCTGAAACATAAATAATGGTTTCAGATACCATAAAAAGGGAATTATGTGTATAAGTGGTATTTCGGTATTAACAAAAACATTAATACAGCTTTTTATCTTAAACATATACAGTTGTGGTGGGTAAACATAGAACACCATTTATTGTAAGTTTTCAAGAGTTTTTATGAAATTACACCTAGCTGCTCCTTTTCAAATCTGGACATACACGATTCATTCATAACTGCTATATAAAAGCTCGGTACGCGTTAATTTCAAAGTATGTATTTTATACGATAGCATATGTTGACTATTAAAAGCCGTTTTTCCAAATTAATTGGAGAATACTGAATATGAAACTTCTATGTCGATTTGACTGAACAGGAATATTAGTTATATAAACCGAATAAATGGTTGCACAAGACAGCCATTTTCAAATATCAACTGCTTAAACGGCAAATGCAACAATTGAAAAATTATTGCCTTAAATATGATTGAACGTCATTAAATAAAATGTCCAGAGACGCTAAAAAACTTTAGTAAATCAGTAGCATTCAAATTTATTTAACTGGAAAAGCAATTTAAATTGAATCGATACGCAAAAATAATCAATAATATATATTTACGTTAGCTAGTAAGTAGATCATATACTCAAACTTTTAAGTTTAATTTAAATATATAAAATTCTGAATTTTTTGCACTAGATCAAAATATTGAGCTCAAGCAGTCTTTTAAGATCTAGAGAGCTAGTTTACATACACAATTACACAGTTCCTTGACTTGAAATTACATCGATAATAGAATTATTGCTTTAAAATAGAGTCAAAAAGATTAAATACTTTAGTCAGTCGCAAGTTTTGAAAGCGATGTACAGTTCCTAATAAGGGATTTTGTGAATACGGCCAACTAATGTAAACGAATGAAAATATAATTTGCGTATCTTTAAATAAGCCAATTGTAAGTTGAAAAAAAAATCGATTTTGTTACCAAAACCCAGACGCACAAAAAAGTGGAATCAAATCCACTATCAAAATCTTGAGTGGTAGTAATACATTGGTAGAGAAATGTTTGGGGTTCAAGTGCTCGAATTCACTTAATGAATTTATTTCTTGTGTGTGCCTTTTAAAATATGTACTTATTTTTGTTTAGGGCTATTTCAAATAAGCTTCTTTGTACCCGTCGCCTACAGCTGAGTTTATTTGTTCGATGTGTAAAAATTTACTAATCAAATTTCATAATTTTACGTTAAACACATGCAAGATAGGTGTATTAGAAGTAATACATTGTTTATGAATCAATTAAAGTACAACATGCATCTTTGCTTGTGAAAAATAAAGATACTACACTTACCATCAATGTCGCACAAAACAAAGTCAAACGAATTTATGAACCTAATGATTTCCTCCCTTGTTTCACTAACTAAATTTTTAGTATACTTCATTTTCCTCTCTAAGAACTAGTGAGAGTGATAATAAAAATTCGTCGTACTGTTTACGATAGTGACTTCAGTAGCTTTCGAAAATATTACTTATCTTAAAAGTTCAATATTTTCATGATAAATAAAGCGAATTTATTAATAACCGAATATTGTGTTTATATAACTTTTGGTGTAAATATACTTATATAGGTCATCTATTTAATGGAGATATCTATTAAGAGATAATTTCAAATGTGACGCAGTGTTATTAAACGTGTGCTAAGTCTTTCATTCCCAACATTCATTCAGTTAGTTGCTGATTTTTCTTTTTAACAAAAAAGACTGTACTACTAAGTAATTAATCAGAAAAATTGGCATAGTTTCGGGCATTAGGCACGTCTCATTTGCTAGTGGTAAATGGTTCGCTATAATTCGATATCAAAGGTTCTGAAATAAAAAAATTAGTTCCTATATTCATTTTTTAATAAGTTGATAAAAAAATTCTTTGTTGATGAATAAACTAGGAATTTTGAACAAATGATTCAAGTTTAACCAAACAAATAATATTAAAGTTTTTTGCATAAATAATACTTGATGATTGTTTAATTTTTCTGTTGTTTTGAAAACTTGTGAGCGGTTAAATAAATAATTCTTGTAGTAAATTTTTCAAAAGAAATGTTAATTTCCATTAACAATATTTTTAATAATTAAAATCTTTAATTAAAATTTATTTTTTAAGTAAAATGTATAATGAAAACACCATGCAATTTATCCAACAAGTCGAACCTCTAGGTCGAAAGTTCATTGTAAATGTGACATCAAAAGAATGAAAAGTCGCTTATTGTCCGTCCATAGTTAATTTGTTTGTTTTTAAATTAACTGTCAATCTAGTCAATGTCGACGATGTAATGAATTATCTTTTTCGGAACATTTCGGGAAAACCAATTCAATGCTACAAATTAATGAAACAGAAGTAAAAACTTGCTTGGATCAATTTCAGAAAACAGGTTACAATTTGAACAAATTATTTATAATATTGGCTTTCAAGTAATTTTGGAATATTTGTTACCTATTTTGTAAGCTGATTCTTCAACGCAAAATGTTTTAGAAAATATGGTCACCACTCATCTGAAAAACATGATTTTTTATGATTCATTCGACTGATACAAGAGTATTAAAACGAAATCATAAGTCGCCTAAATGATGCCACTTATTTTTTATTCGAATGCTTTATTTAAACACAAAGCAAACCTACCATGAAAAGAATCTCGAGCACTCGGGCTTTGGAAGGCAGCTTAAATTTCGCAGATATTACAAGAGCTCAGCGAGAATGTTCTTGATTCTTTGTAACTATGACGGCATAAATTTCTCGAGTGTTCTTTAGGCGACGGACGACTTGGCGGATTTTATCTTCATTTAAGAATCAAAGTACATTTTTGAAAGGGTTTCCTCACCGAAAGGTATATTTTGTTACCTTACGAAGCCACACTTTTTACTTTGTGACTACAGTTTGTTTAGATTTATTTCCGTTTGTGCAAGGATATTTACGTGTGATTGATCCTAAATTTGTCACCAAACTGAAGTTGCATTACTAACGCTGCGACTTTCTACTGGAAAATAATGGCAGTGCTGTTGAATTCGTTTTGAAATGAGAGCACAATATGGAAACTCATGGTTAACTAAAACAAAATGGTCCTGATTCCTTCATCTAATCAAATACGACTGGAAATATCCATCCATCATCCCCGGGCGGTCGTTAAAGATTTTCTTACAAATTCTCCATCACTTTCGTAACTCGAGGGTTGTGTTTCCGCGATTTTACAAATATAAATTGCATTACGAGTGACTTGCAACATCTAAAAGTTATATTCGCTAATGATAGTCATTTTTCAGATACATTCGCTTGGCAAATCCCTTGATAATAACTCAACAATACATTCAATATTAAAATTTACCCCTGAGACGCTCAGCAAAAACGGAATTACTAGAAAATGAAGTTGGATGTTCTGCGAAATGTGATCTATTCAAGTTATTTTTTGTCTGTATTATTATCATTTTGCTGCGAAGCTGAAATATACTTTTGCACAAAATATATCCGTCAGTTATATCAACGATAAAGTAAATCTAAAAGAATTTTCTGCTGTTTCCATTGAATTTAACTCCATCAAAAATCATGTCTTATTCACTATATTCATTTCTGCGTCTAAGGAAAGTGCCCTTATGTCCCGCAGTAACAAATACCAATTATAAGAAAAATTGATTACATTTTGTCACTGTGTTTGTTCAGATGGTACACTAACTAACTGCTAAAAACACTATAACCAAAACCGCTGAAGACTATTGAAAAATAGTTAAACTGGGATTCCAATCTGTTCGTATGTTTATTCCTATATTACTGCTTGTTTAGAGCAATTACTTGTTGCAGTAGAAAGGCACGTGGTTTGATGAAAAACAATTTGTTAGTTTACCATATAGCTTAAACCCTATCTGGATCTTGTGAAATGACCAACTCAGTTAATGAATCCTAGTCGTTCCTCAAAAAGTGGTGACGAACAACTACAACGATCCAGAATTAAATTCTTATACCGGCCGTTTAACACTCTTCTCCTACAATTAATATAAATGTGTGCAGTTTAGAACTGATAGGGCACACTACATAATTTTGTAAAAGAAAAACTGCATTTCAAGCATCAAGGAAATATACGGATGTTTAAAGATATATCATTAGGTTCCCGATTGCGACTTGAACTTTACATCATTAAAACCAAAACATGTAAACTTTACAATGCCAAAAGCTCTTGGCCCAACAATTTCCGAGCTAACTTTTTAGCTTAATAAATCTAAAAATTTTAAATGGCTCCTCTTATATCATATCCGTTCTTATTTGCGGAGATGCCGCACAAAATGCCTAAAGTATTTTTCCTCCAGAAACTTTTCAGCTCATTATCTAATTGAGCTTGTTATTTTTCAGCCTCTTTCCGTTTACCGAGTTACATCTATTATTTTAATGAGTAATTCGACCGATTTCCTAATTACTTTACGGGAACGAGGTTGTTTTGTCAACTAATTGCCTTTGTCTGAGAAAGTTGGTTAATTGCATTCGCGTTTGCTTCCGGTTTCAAGATAAAGCTCACGTTTTCTCTTACGGTTTAACTCCAAAGAAGTTTCTCAAGCATACCTTGGTTATAGTGCTCATTCCGTTATATTTACTTTTCATTATGATTTCCTGTTAAAAGCGTTTGCGTTTTGTCTGTACTTAAGCTTTGAGTCAAAATTCCTACAAAATAATAGTCGGAGAAGATAATTAAATGAATTGAAATTTACCGAACAGTTATTTGTAGTGAATTGAACGTCATTATTTCAAGCTTTTTTAGTTCAGGAGCTTAGTTCAACTAAAGGTTAAATTTGTTTGACTAAAACAGTATGTTTGTACCAAGTTTGATAACTTCGGTTGAGCAATTGTCAACTGCTAAAACCGAACAGTAATGTTTGAAATAACTGGATGGCAGTTTTACACTTTTACTACAAAATCACTAATAATAAAGTTTACTGTCGTGTTCATTTCAATCAGAACATTTTATGAAACTGCTGTGCATATTGTATTGCTAGATATCAGACAAACTCTTTCAATCGGACCCTCGTTACACCCAGTTTTATTTTTCATTTAACTATTTTTGAGTCCACTAGTTCCAGACCTCAACGTCTTCTGCTGCTTGCAAGTCGTCGTTCCATATACCTAGCAGAGCTCATCGTTATCCGTGGTTTCTCACAACCAGCTCTTAAAAGCCTTCTTCTGTTGTATTAATCGGAGGCCGTAGGTTATTTAACCATGCCATTTTACTACAAGGTTCTCCTTTTCTATCCATCTTTCCGTCTAGAATAGCTTATGGGAAAGAGGACAGCATATAGGTGGCTTCTTGTCAAGATTTGTCCCCTTTAAACTAAAATGCAGTTAAGCTAGGACATACCTTGACCTAAGAACTCCAGCTTTTAACATAAGATTTTAGTTCAATTTTATGCGTCTTACTTGCAATACAAACTATTGAGGCAGTGAAGCACTCAGGCACATATTGGATGACAATCATGGTATCTCAGATATCTTTGATCCACCTTTCATTTGTCACTAATTCAGTAGCGGATATGTATAAAATGTTTATCCAAATACCGTCATTGTTGACTGTTCTTTTTTTTGAATTTGTAACTTGTTTGTTAGAATTTGTAACTTAGTTTTTGTAAGAAGGTAATTTTTGTTGAGAGCACTTATTCAGTGTTCAACATTTTGTCTGTTCTTGCTAACAGCGCCAGACAAGACCACCCAGAAGAATAATCCTAGTTTGAGCAATCATGCAAATTCCTGAGCTTTTGTTTGTTTATAATAGTTTACGAAACTTTGTGAATACTATTGATTCTTAGAATATAAGATACTAAATTACAAAAATTAATGAGCTAATAAGTTAATGACTTTCGTCATTTATTATTAAGCTTTGAAATCCCAGATCCCAGAAGATGAAATCCCAGAAGATTGAATTCTTGAGAGCCAACCAATATTAGACAATCAGAAAACAAGACTTACCTGGATTCAAAAGATATTCTCTCATAGCCCTAGTGCTTTTGATCGGTTCCAATTCACTAATCTTTTGTAGTTCTCTCATACACGAACACTTCTGTTCAAACGTCGAGGGTTTAATTTAATAACATTTAAATTTCCTGTCTCGAATCTAATATAGCGAATTAATTTCTAGCACCCTATGGCTTTAATCGCTGATGCAGTTTCACCCCGTTGTTCTGTAAATAGGAAAACATTCCAACCCTTCCTGCGATGGTCAACAAAACAATTTTATGCACCCTTTGAAGGCAATAATGTCATAGCTCGGGGCAATTAGGGTAACAAGCAAATTACTTATTGTTGAATGAGGTTTGGCATTTAAAGCTGAACGAACTGACCTGTTTGCTTAAAAATAGATACATTTTTATACCGGCACACATATCATATAAAATGTTAGTTAAAGATATTACTAGGTCTCTTGAATATTGAACATATTAACAGGAATTTTTATCATAATAATAATCCAACATTATGATTTACTTTTTGCATGGTATTTTCTAGTCATTCCCATAATTTTAATTGCATGAAAGCTGGAGATTTTTGACATCAGTATTTTGCCGGCGTTGGGATGAATGGAATTCCCGAGTACGGATTCCTCCAATTTTCGTTTTATAAATACTAAAATCAACTTTCCCAAAATACATGAGTTTTTTTTTCGATTTTTAGATTTTTTTGCTCAGTAGTGTAAGATTAGCAATAAATCAATGGATCGTTCCCATGCAAATGTAAATTTGTTGGCGGCTTCTAGACCGTCATTGCCTAATTTGAGTGGCGTGATTTATTATATAAAATAAATACTAGTTTCTTGACCTGCTTATTCAACGCTATTGTTGGGAAAAAGCTATCCGATGACGAACACTACACGGGCAATCAAGGACTAGAAGAAAGAAACCCGCGAAGACATATGTTATGCAACTTTCTTGAAAACAAAAGACTTTATGCAATGAACACCTTTTTTCTTAAACAAACGCAATGGAAATGGACATGCATGAACCCTGGCAGCAGAACACGTAACGAAATCGATTATATCCTAACATCATCCAAGAAAATTGTAACCGATATCTCAGTTCTAAACTCCTTCAACACAGGAAGCGACCACAGGATAATCAGAGCTAAATTATCCATACATAAGGTGAAAAGATGAAGATATATTAAACACAACACATACTCAGAGATAGCAGCACTCTGAAAGAAACGAAAATCATATACGAAACCGAATTGAAAGCCAAATGAAGCGAAAATTTAAGTCCAACAAATATAAATGAAATGGCAACATGCCTAACAACGATAATTAAAGATACAGCACTCAATGTCGCAAGAAAGAAAACGAGAAAAACAGCAAAAAAAGGGCAAACAAAACACAGAAAACTTCCGCGAAATCGGAAGAGAAGCAAGAAAAATGATACGCAAGGATCTGGAAGGAAACTACATAACAGAAGTAGAATATGCAAGGGAAAATAATAAAAAAAAATAGATGGCTACGGAGGAACAACGGCAGGAAAGAGTGCACGAAAAGACTTCATGCACTGGGAAACCAGAAATAAAAACGAAATACTAAAGATCACCAAGGAATTTTACCAAGACCTATACACCTCAAAACTAAAGAAACCAGAAACGATTACATTTAAGAAAGTGAGAAATGTGGGGTCGGACGACATCCCCAAAATAACAGAGGAGGAAATACAACATGGTCTTAAAATATTAAAATATAGCAGGGCCTCTGGAGGCGACGGCATATTAATAGGTCAAGGAGGCAGAAGAAACAATCATCCCCAAGCTAAAGATACTTTTCAACTTGCTTTGAAACCCAAGAAATACCTAAAACCTGGAATAAATCCATAATCATCCTACTCTACAAGAAAGGAGACTCGACACTTCCGAATTATAGGCCAATTTGTTTGCTTTTACACATCTATAAATTGTTCACGAGAATCATCGTCATCAGGATCAGCAGCAAACTCGATGGCTATCGACCTGAAGAACAGGCGGCATTATTTAGAAAGGGCTTCAGCACATGCGATCATCTCTTGACCTTCAAAATCTTAAATGCGAAAATGACAGAATGCAACATGCTATTGTACACAGCCTTCATAGGTTACGAGAAAGCATTCGATTCTATTGAACATGTGTGGACCATAGATGCACAAATATACTGGAAGAGATTCTCAGAATCGCAAAAGCGGCAGTGAAAATAAACAAAACAACAGATTCCTTTGCCGTGCAAAGGGGAATCAAACAGGGCGACACAATATCACTCAAACTGTTTACGCTGGTCCTAGAAGGAATTTTCAACGAGTTTGACTGGCCATAAGAGGGGGAGTCAGCATCGACGGCGAGAGATTAACACATCTCAGATACGCAGATGAAATAGTCCTGTTAGCCAACAACGCTGAACACGTGGAAAAAATTATTACAGATCTGAACCAAAAATCAAAGAAAATCAATATGAATAAAATGTGTCCGGAGGATCCCAATATCATAATATACAACAACAAAATAGAGAATGTAAAAGACTATATATACTTAGGCCAACGAATAACTCTTGGAAAGACATCAAAATCGAAAGGAGAATTAGATTAGAATGGGGGGTTTTCGCAAAAATAAAAAATATACTTATCAACAAAAAAATACCCCTGTATCTGAGATCAAAACTTTTCGACCAACGCGTGTTGCCAGTATCCACATACGGCGCTCAAAGATGGACCTTCACAGGGCAAATGGTGAACAAGCTCAGATTATCCCAAAAAAATATGAAAGAAGAACATTAGGCGTTTCTGTGCGTGACAACAAACGAAACAAGTTAATTAGAAACAAGTCTAAAATAACAAAAATAATAGAGCGAATAAAGGTTAACATGTGGAATGGAAGAGTGTTGCGATGGAGGCCATGGGCCGGCAGAAGAGCGAGGGATAGACGTATCACACGTTGGTACGACGACATAAAAAAGGTGGCAGGACTTCCATGGATGATAATGGCCCAGAATAGAACGAAATGGGAAGAACTAAGGAAGGCCAATTCTGGACAAATAACCGCTAGAAGAAGGCTAGTTTCGAAACTTGGACGAAACATAAGGCGCCAACATTTTTTCTTCCGATTCGAACTCCATAAACATGGAAGGGGCTTGAGAAGGCTAGGCTTATATTTTTTTAATGAGTTTCTGATACCTGCAATTCACGTGTGTAAGTGATTTTTTTTCAATTATTTTAACCCGTAAAATTTCCCGCCTCTCATTTTTTCATAATTACAGACATTACACGTTACGTGTCTGAGGGTATTGTCTTCGGGTATTTAAGGAATAGAGAAAAAAAATACGAAAATAAAGATATAGCCCGTAAACGTTGAAAATATTAGTAAAAATTCGAAATAAGCGATTTAACAACAATGTATTTGTTTGCTCCTGTAATTTATTTTTTTAATTAACATTTGCCTGTTGCTTTATGCGTCATCGAAATAGGTAACATATGTAACTAAAAGCAGCATAAAAACTTACTTTGCTAATGCCCTTTAAATTTACAACTTTAATAGATTTAAACGAATTTCGTGTGTCCAATTTGTTTTAACAATCGACTTTCGAAAACAGTGTGCAATTCCTGCAAATCAATTCATATTTTCATTACAGGTTTGTTATATTGCTTGATTTATCAGAGAACCGCTCACCTTCACCTCATAACATTACTTTACAGCATCATTATTTCTTTATTGCCTGCTAACTACCATTGTAGTTTAATATTGGAAGATATTTTTGTTCGCCTAAAAAGTGTGGAGTTAGTGGAATTAGTAGCGCAAATACTGAGATCCTTTTTTCATGCCTGACAACAGCGGTTTTTTTTATATAAGCAGTTTCAATCTCTAAAGAGAGATTGGCAGGAGTGGCTATTTCTATCGAACTTAGCGCTGTCTTAATTGTTTAATTTTTCTTTTATTTAAAATTGTTTATACATATATTTCTCTTAACTTAGCCAGCTATTAGTTGCGATTACCTCTACCGTCCCAAAAGAATCCATCAATATGTCTATATCCAATATCTTACAAGTTAGATATTTCTATTTCTAAACGTGTTTTATGTCTCCGGTGATTCAATTTCTTATGTAGGTATGAATAGTTAAAAAATCAACTCTTAATATTATTCGTCAATTCTCGTTGCGATAAATGTTGACAATGACTGGCAGCATACCTTAGAATATGGTATTGCGTATTACGGTTCCAACTTCAATATTAGAAAATACGAGCTCGACGCCTAGTTCAGTTCCATTTAATGGAAATCTATTTTTCGCATAAAAATCCAATATACACATCAGGTTGACATACTCGTGGCATAATCAGAAATTCTTTAGCGACCCTCACAATTATTCCCGCAGGTTATGGGGTCATACACGAAAGCAATAATTGGAGGGAGCACTCAGGGTCTGGAAGTGATAAAGGAACCAGAAAATTTCCGCACCGGCAATCATGGCCAAAGGAGACGACAACAACTTATTTCGTATTTTGCATCGAGGACGTTCTTTTTCCAGTTGAGCATTTACCCTACTGATTTTATCTTTATGTATCTTACGGACAAGTGCATATGAAGGCACATTTTGATAATAGCGAACTAAGCGAAAAGAAACACTATCCAGAAGCGTATGTAACAACTTTGGTTAATATATTGTAATCATTTTTATTTAGCAATCTGTAACATAAGTCATGTCGCGTCCACTAAGCACCACGTTGGAGAGTTGTACGTTATCTGCGATAATGTAGGGATGTTATAATCGACTTCGCCCATTTTGCTGTCTGTCTACTCATGTTTTGCTCATTGATCAAACCGTAGCGATATTGGTTATAGTCCAGAATGACAATAACGGCTTTGTGCCATAACGTAAATTTTCATCTACGTGCATTTGTAACAAGCTGATCATTTTAACTTGACGGGAATTTCTAAATGAAGAAGATAAGTTGCTTTTGAGAACCTATATAAAGCTAACATGAACTTCCAGCTCTAATAAATTACCAACACTGATGAAATGTACTTTAATTTCAGATGAGGGAACAATGAATAAACGGTCAACTGGTGGTGGATCTTGGAACAGAAGGGGCAAGCCTTCTAACAAGGAGCTGACTGGTATGAGAAGGCAGCGTAGCCTGGAATGGAGAAATGAGAGAGACTGTAGCTCCAGTGATGACGATATTGCTCGCCCAGTGGAAAGTCAAATTTTTGCTTCCTTGTTAGCACAAGCGCAGAAGGAATTTAAAGGTAAGAAACTGGACAGCAAGAAATTAAATATTGTGCAAGAATACAAGGTGATTCAGAATTGGCGTCATTTCTTTAAAGGGGTGATACAGGCTCACTTGGGGAGTACGAGAAAGGTAATGAAAATTTTTTTTTCTAAAATTTCTAGAAGATATTAACAGTTGAAGATCGAATTTCAACTTTGTTATTAAGCATTATTTTGAAATTGTTCCATGTTTAATTGGTAGCATATTGGAATACTTAAGCGTTCAAAAAGAAAAATTACGATCTTTGCTTCAAATTGCGAAATTTTTTCGTATCAAAAAAGTTCTCTTCTACAATTTTTTGATGAAAAGTCACAGCGGCGATGATGTTTTTTGTCGTCAACAGGTAGTTACAGGTGGATAGCCCTTATCAACAATAACAATAATTTGTCAAACTGTGACTTACTTTCAAATTTCTTTCACAAATTTGCGGATATGCGATTAGTTCAGGGGAAATGCTACATTAACATAGCAGAAGCTGAAAGAACTCACGCCAACAAAGGGCGAGGAGAGTGGTTCCAGGAAAATAGTGGACGACAATCCATTTTCAAGTTCCAGGCACCGAGCAACAAGTATTGAACATAATCGAATAAGGGACTTCCAGGGGTACTCAGAGCAGAATAACTGACACTTTCCCAAGCACCAAATAAATACCGAGGAAGGGCTACATTGCTACCATGTTTGTACGATACACACAGCACAAAGAGATATAAATGGTGCAGGAGTTAATAAACTGAATACGAGAAGCTGCTTGATAAGAGTGGATAATAAGGAGATTACACGGGCACTAGCTTGTTTGGAGTTAACCATTCAACCAATTCGAGGTTATGAGAACAGGTTGACATTTCGAAAGTACGTTCCGCAGTCAACGAATCTTGTTGAATTTACCGTTTATCCTTGTCTATCTCATTGTCACTCTGTATGGTTACCGGAGATTAAATAATTACGAAGCAACAGGTGTTTCGTCAATATTAATTAGGCGGATTACCTTAAAAACATTGTTGCCGTATTTTTGATATAGTTTTTTGCAAATTTCTCAGTTTTTAATAACAATTATTCTATAACAGCGCCAGACAACACCTCCAGAGGAATGACGCCAATTTTGAATCACCTTGTATACGTAATGAGAATATATAAAGTAACTAACAATTATTAACAATCGAAAAATTCACCAAAATATAATACCAACAGTCATCTCATCAGACTGCTATGTCCTGAGTGTTCCAAGAATAGCTTCCCGATTTGTATGACGTGCATCCAAATTAAATACACAAAATTAAAATTTAATTTGCAACTCCAAAGCTCAATAAAAGGTCATTAAAATGTTCACAAAATAACTTAATTATTGATACTAATGGGTTTTCGGGTTTTTAGGCCATCGTTCGGTAGAATTTCTTCCTGTTTCCTGTAGAAGTGGTTTGCTTGAACGCTTACACCGTTCCGATGACTTATTTATTAATTTGCATTTTGCAGTATCCGCACAAAATAAAATACTTTTGAAGCTCGATATTAGTACACGAAACACATATAACTTCATTACACTCACCAGTTGTGACGTTGTAAATCTTTTAACAAAACTGACTAGTAAACAACTATTTTACTACGTAAGTGAACAGTAATTCAAAGTATTTGAAAACCAAAATATGTCTAACATAGAAAATGGAACGTTAGGCAAAATCCATTATTTCAATGTGCTGCTATTTCACATGTGGCCTGGTTTACATAGGAGAGTTTAGCGAAATACATCTACAACCATACACTCCTTTAATTGAGATGTTAAAGGAAAAATGTCAGCTTTGTTTTTAAACCACCTCTTTTAAATTAACTTTTGGCATGAAAGCATTTTAACTTTTCATGTTTTACGTATGATTGTTTTACATTTTTATGCTTTACGAAGTGTCGTATCGCATTTTTCTGTAACATTTCACCATGAAAGTTCAAAGATATTCGCTAAATTATAGTTATGTGATTTTATTTGATAATTGCGCAATTATGTTTTCTAATTTTTTGATTTATTCCATGGTTTAATTTTATAACGAACTCAAAAAAATAAATCTAATATTGACATCTGCGAGAGTAAAATTAATTTGAATCCTGAATTTCGTCTTTTCCATTGTCTTTCTCGGAAATTAAAATCTTTACTGGAAATACCAAATAAATGTAGAATATTATAAAAAAACAGAATAATGAGATAAATGTTTATTCTAATGTACAAACATTCATAAACGTTCTGCATAAATCAATTTATAAATCTATGCATCTATTATATAATTCGATATAAAATATGTACATAATATATAATACAATATATAGTTACATATAAATATACAATTGTATATGTGATAATTATATAAACTCCTTATGAATGATAGAGGTGTTTTGGTTTATTGAAACTTGCGACTCAAGGTTTTCACACACACGCATTGTAGATTTGCTTATTTTTTTTCAGATAGTTTATTTGCTTGATTAATTAATTTTGAATTTCTGAGTTTAACTGCGTGAGGACGTTTCAAGTAGAAAATATTGAAACTTCTCGAGAAAGAATATGTTGTGGATGGTTTTTTGAAACTTTAAACTAGATAATTTCAGTCCGTTTTACTACACCTCCAGTTTCGGTTTTCTTCACTGTTCAAACTTTTAGATCTTTCGCTAGCGCCTGGAAATTGAATAAGTCTTTGTATCGGTTGCAGCATTGTACAGTTGTTGGATGTTCTTCAATTTTTCTCCTTTTTTCGGATTCATTCACTTTCCTTTCCAGTTTCTTTCGCTTGATGTGCCTCAGGCCGTATCACCTTATTCACACTGGTTATTCTTATAAATTTGTTCACTCGACGTTTTGGTAGTCACTTCGTCAGTTATCTATCAAACGACCATAGCAGAAAAGAGTAAAACGATGACACGAAATCCATAAACTCCTTACATGCATTTTTAATATTAGGATGTGACTGTGCAACACAAATCTGCTTGCAAATCGTCAATAGACTGCTCATTCATTTCACTCTCAACTTCAGATAGTGTAATTTTCTGATTGCGTGAAAACTCACTTAACACTTTAGCTTTAATTCTAGTCCATAAATACTGGGCAAAACCGCTAATCTGATTACCCGATTTTGCTACTTATTGATATTATTTTCAATTTCAAGTTTTATCCATCTTTTATCACTCTGAGAAATCAATTGAAAAATTATCTTTTGTCAAATAGGCTGTACTTAAAGAGTCCTCATATTGTTGCGGATTTCAATAGCGGCAGTAGGTGTAAAATACATAGCTGCTTAGTCATATTAAACGTTACCGTTCATTTCATGACCTTAATAAGAAAATATCTTTGCCTCGTAAGGTAATCCGAAACACTGGACTGAGACCTGCTTCCTTTGTTTACTGAAATTAAATTTTTCGGAGGTAACAGTTTTTTGAACCCATTAATTTTAAGACATTAATTAATAAATCGTGAGACATAATGCCTGAAATAACTATCACTACATAAAGACAAAATAACTGACATACATAAGACAAAATGTGTATTTTATTTCAATAAATTTTTACTAATCAAAATCAGTAAATACTGGTCCTGAATAAGCTTAAAATCTGTCAGGTCAGCACACTGGCTGTGGAAATTTTCCTTAAACCGTTTAAACGGGTAATTGTTAACTCGTAATTATACGGTCAAACCCCTCTTTCTGCAAATTCTTTATTTTGGCTGGCTCAAATTCTGCTCACGTTTCAGCAGAAATGCAGATTTGAACGGCGGACTGGACTGGTCCTTACAATTCCGTCCAGCAAATTATAATGGCCATATTAAGAGTCTGAAAGCTTATGTCGTATGACTCTTAATTAAACGTTCTGTTTAGAACAAAAAATATTGACGGATTTTCCAAAAGAAGTAGTAGTTATTTTAGTTACTTTTTGTAAATCTGGAAGAACTTTTTAAAGTATATGGAATAATTTGCAGAGATGATCAATTAAAAAGTTTAAAACTCAGGCTTTACTGAATAATTACTCCACAGCAAAACATAAACCAATTCTCTTATAATGTATGACTTAGAACTTCTCTACTACGACTCTAGCGCGAAATGCTGCGTATTTGAAGACCACAAATTTTAGCATAACATTTCATAGGTGTTTATTGTTCACTACAGAAAAAATGTTCTTTAATGCATACGAGTATTGACGTTTTACCTATATAGCTATTATCCTTATATGGTTCAACGGGCAATAACTCAGTGGTGTCGGTTAGGCTGCTGGTGGCAATATTACACTTTTATAAGCTGCCGTTAATGAACAGAAACTTTCGAAGTTTATTAGAGCTCAAAATCTTCAAAAGTTTTGGACAATCAAACAAATCCCCCTTTTCACATAATTTTAATCTAATGGAAAATAACTTGCCAGTCCCTGCTTTGATGTATCGAAAATTACAAGGAGGAATAGAGATAGATAGACGTGAACCCTTAGAAACGCATGGAAGCATAAAGACTAACGAGTGATTGAAGACGGATGTGGGGGCGCTTGATTGGTTTTACTCATAGGGTGTGCCTATCAATCAAACTCAGCATCGTTGCAAGCAGATATTTTGTATTTGGGCAATTTCATAATTTTGGGTGCAATTGTTGGGTATAATTTCTGTGAGAAATGTTTAATAAGAATGAATAAAAATTGCTGCAACTGACTTAATCTAAGCGATGGACTCAAAAATATTCAGAATTTTCACTAATGTTAATTGAAGCGTTAATATTTTTACCTGTTGGCTATTTAATAATTTGTAGCCCTTTTCCAAATTTATTTGCTATTGCATTTGCAAATGCAAATTACACTTTTTTTAAGCATGGGATAAATAATTGATCTTGATTGATGGAATTGTATAGTATGACAGTAATCTACTAACAGAAGTTGTTTAGCCCTCGAACCAGTTACTGAGGTGCGGTCAAAGTGGGTCTCTCCCTTATCAATTGATGAGGAAGGGATAATAGATTCCGCAGGGTGAAC